ACGCTCTTCCGATCTAAATAAAAATAAATAAACAACAGAATACAATTTTTCTACAATTTCTGCAATATAATGTATGTCATGTCTTCTTCTTCTTCTTCTTCCTCTTCTTCTTCTTCTTCTTCTTCTTCTTCTTCTTCTTCTTCGAGTTTCAATCTGAAATTCAGCCAAACCCAAGTCTAATCTTCACCAAAACCCCTCAAAATTGAGATATAAACTCCAAACCATATTCCCAATTATTTGCAACAACACCCAATCCTAACAAATTATAATTTTTGAAAACTCAAATTCGAATTCAAAACTTCAAAGCTTTTTAATGGCTGTCAATGGTGGAATTGCTGTTCTCTTTTCCTTTGCTTTATATTACTGAAATTTGGGATTGGGAGATAGAGAGAGACGTAGAGAGAATTCTCAATTCTTTGCAACAACATCCAATCCAAACAAACAATGTCTTTTGAAAACCCAAATTCGAATTCAAAGCTTCAAAGCATTTTAATGGTTGTCAATGGTGGAGGGGTTACAGATTTTCGCTGATTTTAGAAGAGGAAATAGTGGGCGATTGAAGAGGAAATCGTGGGGTGTGATTTGATACGTGGGTGAGGGGGTGGGATTTGGAGAGAAAAACTTGGGGGGAATGGGAATATACGGTGGAGTTAAATTAGGAGACTAAGTAATACCACTAAAACCCCTAAAATGTACATAAATGGTAATTAGGTATATAAAAGGTAATTATATTAAAAGTTAAGCATGGAGGGTAATATAGTTTACTATATGACATAGGAATGTAAAAATACCCGGGATTTTGGAGAATCCATTTTTAAACCTCAAATTCAAAGAACAAATACATATACAAATAACTTCTGATTTTTTTTTTCCAGATTTGGCCGAGTACATCAAATGATCTTCTGTCCCATCAAATTGAAGTTCGTAAAGTTGCAAGAAGAGTATTGAAGTTATTAATTGCATCTCAATTTCAGGTTAATTGGATTAAGAAAGCTAGACGCGGCTCGTTTGAGTGACTCATAAACCCTCGTCGCGATAAACAAGCAAGGGTTTCATCCTCAACTTGTGGGAAGTAGCGAGAAATGCTGCTTCAGAATATCCTATGGCTCGGACCCTTTCACTCGAGTACTCAAAGGTGGATACTCATATATTATATGGTGCCTTGCTATACAAAATTCTGCATAATAGTTTAAGTCACACCAAATATTGAAAGACAGGATAGAGTAGAAAAAAAGCCTTTGCATTTCTTTCAATTTCTACAGCACCAAGAAGGGTCTTGTGTACAAGAGAAAGGAATCCACTTGTAAGAAACAATCCAAAATTACAAGAAACTCACCTTGAATGAAAACCAAAATTTAAACAAACTCCACACATGTTAGAATTATTCAGTTCACTAGAGAAGTAAAAGATCAGCATAAGTTCTTAAAGTTGTTATTAGGACTTAGACCCTGCTATTTGCTGGCAATGGCAAAACTCCATCAAAGAAATCACCAAAGTAACCACGAGGTTCGTGAACTAGCTTTGAGATTATGTCTCGAAGTGTGAGTACCCCCTCGAGATTTCCCTTGTCATCTACGACGTAGATCCTGTGTATCTTCATTGAGTCCAGCTTCATGATAACTTCTTTAAGGCTGTTATCTCTTCTGCAAGTAACCATGCTACTTAAATATGGGGAGTGCTTCTCATGCTTCTCCAGATAGCTTTGAACTGATGTCAGAAAGTTCTTTGCTGTTATAGATCTGCAGAGCGATAAACAATTAGAGAATGAGGATGATTTTATCATTAAATGCACTCATGGCACTTGTATATCGTGACAGTTGATAGACTCGGTGGATTATTTGATCTCCACATGATGTGTGATCCTATGAATGTCATAACAGGATGTGCTTTAGTGTGAATTACAAAGAAATCATCTTCAAATAAATGGTTCAGATTCAACAAAAAGAACAAACAAAGATAAGACGGAGGGCTTAAAACTGTTTGGAGGTGTAAGAGGAAAATATGCTATTTAAAACATATTCAGAGTTAGCATTTATGCTGTGTCCCATGTCTAGAAACGTATGTACTACTTCTGCCTTTGCATGTGAGAGCCTTGAAATTATATTTGTTAGCTTATATGTTTTCTCTTAACTGGTTATGGAATATGTAAATGTATGAAGGTCAAATCAAACCTGTAGTCCTTGTAGATTTCAGGAGCAATGAGAAGGAACTGAATATCTCTGATGCTTATATTACCAATAGCTTTCCTTCCACCACTTTCGACAACAGGGACTCCTCCAACTCCCTTCTGTCTCATCAGCTTGAATGCCTGCAGTACCGGTTCATCCTCATTCACCTGGAAAAGAGAACAAAGATACAGTTAGCAGGCTATAAAATGCACCACGCAGATGTGTCAGAAAAACTTTAATAGAATGAAAAAATAATAAGCATCGAAACATAGCACCTCCTTCAAGTTGCTGGTTGGGTGCTAATGACATGGATGTTCATTGCATGTTAAAGTAACTCGCCTAAGCTAATATCGAAATCTCTGGTTCATAGGATTCTTAAGCTTTTGGGCGCTGTTACTACTCACTCTTTCTAGAACCAAATGCTATCTCCGGGGTTAACTGTCCAAGGATATAACACTTAATTGATAAAATGACAAGGCCGCCTAAGGAATGTGTTACTCGTACAAATAGTTTGTCCCATTGCTTTGCCAACCTAGATCAACCTAAAGTAGCTAAAGATAAATGGTTTTCTTTTTTTTAATCAGTGATCATAGTTTCTTGATTACTGCAATTTAAAGATATATCAACAACAAAAACTAGTAGAATCTTAAGAGAATAATGGACTTGGAAGACCAGCTGCAACGGTTGAAAAAGTGCTAGAAAAAAACAAATGAGATGCTTGGCACTTAGCAGCTTGTATGCCTACGAATTCCCCAAATTGAGACAGTTCCTAAAAGAAAAGGTGATGTGAAAAAAATGTAACCAAGACGAAGTTGTATGGTGTTGGGATAAACAGAAGACCCGTGGCTGAAGACATACACTCTAATTTTATCACTTACAGAGCCCTGCCAGCTCATATAGGTAATCTGACAGAAAATGAACAGGTAGATTAAATTTGCGGACGGGAAATTGCACAATAAGAGCTATTATACGAAGGAAGGAACAAAGCTGTAAAATAAATTATCTGCAATGAGCTCAGGTTCTGCTTGAATTAGAGCTTTTGAGACCTTAGGTTTAATTTTCTATGTAATGGAAACAAAACTGTGCTCTACTATAGGGTGATTTCTATATGTAACACTTAAAGTTATTCTAGCAACATAATAGCAGAAGATCAAGCTACTCAAAGCAATTATATCCTTTGTTGCTTCGTGACAGCAGAAACTGAACTTATTGAAGGTGACAATTGATAGCTTCTAAGTGTCATATGCTATTCAGCCAATATGTATAAAGTGTAGATATCTTTTCTTTAAACTCTTGCATTGACCTGCTTGATCATAATGTACAAAAAGAAAATATATACAAAAACAAACCAACTACCAACCACGTGATTGTAAGTGGATCATCAACCATGCAGCCAAAGTAGGGGGCACAGGAAAGAAGAAAATAAAACAGACAAAATGGAGCACTTACAAAAGCACAAAGAAAACATATAAATCAGTCAATCAGGTAACCAGTTGCAGACTTGCAGCAAATATGCACAAGGGTTGGCGTACTAACTTCAAGCACTCAATTTCGCGTACCGAAACACATGATGAAGAAATAGAAACACAAGAATCTTAAAATTGAAGTATCATCTTTTAGCAGATTTGAAATATGATGAACATCATAGCAAATAGAAGGACAACACAATAATATACGTCCATAGATTATGGAACAGTTCCTTGTTTATTTACAAAGAACAAACCACATGCTCAATAGCAGAAGCATAAAAACTCGAAAGCTCATACCTGAATGATGCTACTTGGCTTCATTAAAGGGAGGCCAAGTTCATATAATTTCTTAGAACCCCAGCTCTCAAACCAATGAAGACCAGCACATTCTTCTAGCATGTGTATAACAGCAGATTGAGTTATAATGTTATCAATCTTCCATTCCCCTAAATCAACCACAGGAATACTCTTCATTTTGTATTTAGACAGCAAGAGAAGCATTGTCAGAAAGGAGTTTGATTTCTGCAAAGCCAGAAATGGAGCCCAGCGGAATGAACCCGAAATGTCTCGAACCTACATCGGGTGTTAATCAGCACAAATGTCCGAATAGCTTTTTAAAAGGACAATCAGTAAATGTTTAAGGAAAATAACTAATTCATTATAAAGAATAACCTTTGTATTCTTATAGAGATCTGACGAAGTTAATGTCTCAAAAAAGTTTCCACAAGTCGCAGTTGGAGATTCAGGATGCAAACTTCTGAATCTCGGAGAAGAGACTCCATTAACAGCTGCTGCCAATGCAGGGCTAAGTGTATCATCTGTTCCATCAATTACAGAATCAAAAGCAGAGTTGCCCTCCATCTTTTCTGACTGACAAGTATGCAACAAATTGGTTTAAGTATCTTCATAGGAAAGGAGGACAACGTACAACAAGAATTCCACCGTCTTTGTAACAAATTATTAGACCTTGATCCATTTGAAAACTTGCTTTTAACCTTTCCCCAACTTTTAAAGGCAACATATGTTCATCAATTCCATAGTTGTGAATGAGAAGATACATGTTTAATTACGATTTTATGTATAGGGTGCATACCTGATGCAGGATCCATACCACAATGCCGGCAAATTCCACGATGCCAATATATCTATCAATCCAACTAGCATCTTCAGGGGCATCAACATCCACAACAGGTGCACTTAGTATTTTGTGCCGTGCTAGTAACTTAACAGCTTCGGCCAAAGTTGCATCTGATCTTATCTCAATTACTGCAGATAAGAATAACAATCATTGCAACAACCAGATATTATCAGTACCAGAAGAGAAATAAACCATAAAACACTATACAAAAAGAACGGCGAACAAATCATCTTTTTACTGGTAAACATTTAAGAATCCCAACTTAGGTCGCTTAACTCAACAAGCTGAGTATGAGAGAATTTCATGTGCAGAAAATTCTCTAATTTTTAGATTCAATTTCTCAATAATTTTCTACACAAAATAACCAACGGTTAACCAACCAAAAGAACCATACCTCCTCCCAACTTGAATGAGGCAGATTATGTAGCTTACTTTATATTTTCTTGCTCGGCAAACATAAAAAGGGGGAGAGAGGAAAAGCATCAATGGAATTCAGAGAGAGAGAGAGAGAGAGAGAGAGTAAAATGATCTTATTTGATCTATTGTCGAACGAACAAAATTAGACACAAATCCTATAAATTTCTTCAGCTAAGAATGACTCAAATGTTAAATTCACCTCAGCTCGCACAAAACAAGCCTTTGACACACTTCTTATGCAGAGTATAAAACAACTACATAAAGATTTAATTACATCTTTGTGCGTTATTAATCACACCAAAAGATACAATCAAAATTATTGACCTCTAAAACAAGTAATTAAAGGATCAATATGCAGAATTCAGATAATTAAGACGCCGATCATATTGCTTTAACAACAAGAAACCTATGATAAACATGGAAAAGTAGTAGATTAACCTTGATTAGAAGGAGCAGGAGGAAAATCAGAAACAGGAATGTTCTCGAAACAAGCGTTGAGCTTCTCAGTAGGACTAAGCTGTGGTTCTTGTACATCCCATAGATCTTCCACTTGCATACCTACCTTTGCTTCTGGGCTTCTTGGTGTTTGACATCCTTCTTCCATCACCATTTTTTTCCTACAAAATTCACTCTCTTTCTTTCTCTCTGGTTCTTAACAAAGTGAGAAACTGCTGACAAATAAATCAATAATTCGATGCTTGTTGCTTTCTATGAAAGTGATCCAATTATTACACTAAAATACTTGTCACTATTCCGATATTAGTACCAATGAGAATTTCAGTAATTAAAAAATAAAAAAGAAGATCCACGTGATCATGATATGGTAATTCTGAGGAGCGCATGTCCACCTGTTAATCTGGACCGATATAGACCATAATTATTCTCCTTTTCATAATTATTACTCCCTCCATTCCTACTTATGTGAACCTGTTTGACTGGACACGAAAATTAAGAAAAAAATGAATGACTTTTGAAATTTATGATCCTAAAAAATCAAAATAAGGCCCACAGTATTTGTGTGGTTATAAAAGTTTCTCGTTAAGGGTAGAGTTGTAAGTTTAACCTGAATTATTACCAAATTTAGAAAGGGTTCATTCTTTTTGAAACAGAACAAAAAAGAAATAGGTTCACATAAACCGGAACAGAGGGAGTAAAATTTATTGTCTAAAAATGTAAAAATATTTGTTTCTACAAAATTTTTATTAAGCATAAATAAAAAAATTTAAAATTAAATTATCCTTAAATATAAAAAGTATCTTCTTTTTTCTCCTACAAGAATAGTGTAGTAGCACATAAATTGGACTGAAGGAATATTGTTATTTTAAAGGGTTCAAATTTATTTAACTCAATGGTTAAAAGTTTAAGTTGATGTTTTTAAATCAAATTTATCTTTTAATCACAAAAAACTTTAAATTAATATTATATTTTGTGACGAAACAAATACGTAGGAAGAGGGATCGGGTGTAAATGAAGCTGCACGGTGAAAGTGGGATGATTGGGGTTGACGTCTATTCCGGTAGTTATTCTTATCCAGAAAAGAGGAACCATTATTTTAATCAATTTAGAAGGCTAAGACTTATCCAAAGTTCCAAACTAGTAATAAATCATGGGGCTGCTGCATTTGCATAACGTGGACTATGCCGCCTTTCATGACTGATTCAGACATGTGACAAGTGGCCTTTTATACTTCGATACAACTTAACTGTCCTTATAAAATCCAAAGAAAAAAAATTGACTAGGACGGTGTTTGGATTGATTTTTATGCTCGTCAAATCAGCTTTTAAGTTTTTTTTTAATATTTGACAAAAGTTATAAAGTGCTTAAAATAAGTTAACAGTTGCTTAAAACAAGCCAAAATATTAAGCTCGGCAACCCCTGTTAGTAGACTGTATTTGTAAAATAATTCTGGAAATATAAATGAACATAAACAGAAATGACATAAAACCAATTCGAGCCCACTGAATTCACAGTGTTTCCTTAAGGAATTTAATCCCCTCCTAGTACCCAAGGTTATGGATTATTTCCTCCCAGGATAAAATGAATTACACACTGGTGTAGTGGTGCTTCAAACCCCAGCGTTTCAGCGAACACAAAATTCGGTAGCAAATCACACTTACTTTTTGCTTTGTTTGATTTAAAAGTATGCAGAAGAAGGAGAAGAAACTCAGAAAATCGTAGTGAAATTCTGAGCAGAATAGTGTTGTATTTATAGCCAAAGTTGGGCTGAAATCTGAAGAGGTGCAACTCTTCAGAATGGCTGTTTATGCAAAACGCCCACAGCACAAATGCCATTACATAAATGGCCATTTACTCAACAATAAAGAGGGAAAATAAAGAGGGAAAATTGAAGAGGGTAGTTACTTTTCTGTTACCAAAACAGAAAAACGGATTGGATTTAATATTAATATTTAATATTAATATTACTATTTAATATTAATATTCTGTTATTAAAACAAATATTTAATAACATTTCTGTTAATATTTTACTATTATCAAATAAATTTGGTCCAAAAAGTTAATCAATCAATCGATCATTTGACCAAATCCAAATCCGAATCCGAATCCGAATCCGACTCCGAAGCCGTAGCCGTAGCCGAAGCCGAAGCCGAGCCGAGCGAGCGACGACGACGACGGCGCGAGGCTTGCCTTCTTCTCAACTCGTTAAGAGCTAGAAGAAGAGCGATTGCTTATATACCCATAAAAAACCTCTTCCTCTTCCAATATGGGACAACCATTTGCCAAGGAGGGAACTTAAAATTTCACTCAAAAAATTCATTTTCCTTCATTTCTCATTCACCCTCTTTTAAGTATTTATTATATTAATTAAATACATCCAAAATCCAACAATCCCCCACATGAATTGGGAATGGCTATATCACGGAAGTATGCATGAAAAACTGTGTGATTCGCAAGTAAGGATTAATTGCATCTGGATAAGTAGGTTTCCCTTTGAACTTTCCGTAGTGAACTTATGTCGGATATACTCGATCAATCGGTATATTTGATATCTTTGAACCGTCGAACTTTAGTGTATACCTAGACAACCACAAGTCACACAACCAACCCTTAACCGTCTTTGGTTCTCATTGTTGTGTTCGTTTCAGCCATGAACACCGCCTGGTTTCATAAGTGCGTAGAGAACTGGCCTTACAATGTTCTCCTTGAAGCGGCTAACACTTCACACTTACATAGGTGATTCCTAAACGTGTTATCCCGTAGATACACTATTTGATATACCCCGTGTCAAATTTAGAAATCATTAAAAAGCCTTAATGCTTTATCCTTGGTACTGAACATTGTCTCATCACGAGAATGGACCAAAAGTTTAGTTGACAATGTTGAACCGTCATAAATGACTTTTTTTGATCTCCTTGAACCTAGATCTTGGGATCTCCGGTCTTCTAGGTAGAGTTACCGCCACTATGACTTGTTCTCGGCCACAGTCCCATTCCCCTTGATGACTTCTCAACTACCTCTCTAGTTAGGCCTTTTGTAAGTGGATCCGACACATTGTCACTTGACTTTACATAGTCAATCGTGATAATTCCTCTAGAGAGTAATTATCTAACGGTTTTATGTCTTCGTCGTATATGACGAGACTTACCGTTATACATAACGCTCCCAGCCCTTCCAAGTGCCGCTTGACTATCACAATGTATGCATATTGGTGCCAACGGTTTGGGCCAAAATGGAATATCTTCCAAGAAATTCCGGAGCCATTCAGCTTCTTCACCGGCTTTATCCAAGGCTATGAACTCAGCCTCCATTGTAGAACGGGCAATACAAGTTTGTTTGGATGACTTCCAAGATACCGCTCCTCCACCAATAGTGAATACATATCCACTTGTGGACTTGGAATCAGTTGATCCGGTGATCCAATTTGCATCACAGTATCCCTCAATGACCGCAGGATATTTATTGTAGTGCAAAGCAAAGTCCTGGGTATGTACTAAATACCCCAAAACTCGTTTCATGGCCATCCAATGAGATTGGCCTGGATTGCTCGTATATCGACTCAATTTACTTATAGCACAAGCTATATCTGGTGTGTACAATTCATGATGTACATTAAGCAACCCAACACACGAGCATAATCCAATTGTGATATGATCTGGCCTTTGTTCTTTGCTAATGCAAGATTCACATCAATTGGAGTCTTTGCAATTTTAAAGCCCAAGTGCTTGAATTTTTCAAGTACTGTCTTAATATAATGAGATTGTGAAAATGCTAGACCTTGAGAAGTCTTATGGATCTTAATTCCCAGAATTAAATCAGTAACTCCCAAGTCTTTCATATCAAACTTGCTAGTTAGCATACGCTTAGTAGCATTTATGTTGGCAATGTCATTACTCATTATGAGCATATCATCCACATATAAGCAAACAATGACTATGTGATTTGGAACATTTTTAATGTACACACATTTATCACATTCATTTATCTTAAATCCATTTGACAATATTGTTTGGTCAAATTTAGCATGCCATTGTTTGGGTGCTTGTTTTAATCCGTAAAGGGACTTAACAAGTCTACAGACCTTCTTTTCTTTACCTGGAACCACAAATCCTTCAAGTTGTTCCATGTAGATTTCTTCCTCCAACTCTCCATTTAAGAAGGCCGTCTTAACATCCATTTGATGAATTTCAAGATCATAAACTGCAGCTAATGCTACTAACGTTCGTATGGACGTAATTCTTGTAACTGGAGAGTATGTATCAAAATATTCAAGACCTTCTCGTTGTCTATACCCATTGACCACAAGTCTTGCCTTATACTTGTCAATAGTGCCATCATCTTTCAATTTTCTCTTAAAGATCCATTTAGAACCCAACGGTTTATTTCCAGGAGGAAGATCAACCAATTCCCATGTATGGTTGTTCAGTATGGATTCTATTTCACTATTGACTGCCTCTTTCCATAACAATGATTATGAAGAAGACATAGCTTCTTTAAATGTTTGAGGCTCATTTTTCAATAACAAAGTCACAAAATCTGATCCAAAAGAAGTAGAAGTTCTTTGCCGTTTACTACGTCTTGGATCCTCCTGGTTAAGTGTACTTTCTTTTGTTTCTTCCCGAGGTCATTTAGATCCTTCACCAATCAACTCACATTCCTTTTTATACATATATATATTTTCAAAGAACTCAGCATTATCTGATTCTATAACCGTATTATTATGAATGTCAGGATTTTCTGATTTATGAACCAGAAATCGTTATGCTTTACTATTAGTCGCATATCCTATGAAAACACAATCAACGGTTTTCGGTCCTATTTTTACCCTTTTGGGTTTAGGAACTTGCACTTTTGCCAAACACCCCCACACTTTAAAATAATTTAAGTTAGGCTTCCTTCCTTTCCATTTTTCATATGGAATGGATTGTGTTTTGCTATGGGGTACTCGATTTAGTATTCGGCTAGCCGTAAGAACAGCTTCTCTCCCACAAGTTCTGTGGCAAACCAGAACTTATCAATAATGCGTTCATCATCTCCTTTAATGAACGATTCTTTCTTTCTGCAATCCCATTGGATTGGGGCGTGTAAGGGGCCGTTGTTTGATGAATAATTCCATATTCTAAACATATTTGTTCAAAAGGAGATTCATATTCACCACCCCTATCACTTCTTATCATTTTGATTTTCTTATTAAGTTGCGTTTCAACTTCATTTTTGTATTGCTTGAATGCGTCTATTGCTTCATCTTTACTATTAAGTAAGTAAGCATAGCAATATCGAG